AGGGTTTGTTAAACAAAAAAAAATTTATTATTGTGTCAGTAATTACTTAAATGGATTTCAATTGTATTGATTTTCTTATGTATTATTTTAAAATGAAAAAAAAAAATTATATTAAATTTTAAAATTTATAAAATCAAAAGAAACTTGAGAACAAATTAATGTGTCATTTCAAATTAGGCATATCAATTATGCCGCCGAAACTAATGAAAGAAATTAATACCAATAAATTTACTACCAACTGTTTGCGGCAGGGGAGGGGCAGGGAAAACGAGGTTATACGGTACGATATGAAGTATTGATCACAACAACAAGATGAACACAATGTCCCTATCTTTCACCGTTATTGCGAAAAACATCCGTACCTTTCTTTTTTTGGCTTTTTCACCATTAATTACACATTTGATTGCACAAACTATCATTTCTATCCATTTTCATCCAATTTCTCAATAAAAAAAACTGTGAAATGATGAATATACCCTACTATTTAAATAAAAAACTAAAGAATTAATTGCAATTATAGTCCCAATTTTTAAAAAAAGTGCAAACAAGTCCCCAATAAATTATTTAAAAATTTATTTTTTTCAAAAAAGTGCAAACAAGTCCTAATTAAATATATTTAAAAATAAAAAAATACAAACGAGTCCCAAATAAATTATTAAAGAATTAAAAATTAAAAATATTTTTTTTATTTAAATAGGAGGGTATATTCGTCATTTCACATTTTTATTGAAAAATTGGATTAAATTGGATAGAAATGATGGTTTGCACAATCAAACGTGTAATTAAGGGTGAAAATGAAAAAAAATGAAAATGGATGACATTTTTCGAAATAACAATGAAAGATAAGAACATTATGTACTAAGAATAATACTACATGTACATTATGTTATACATAATGGTGTCCATAACGTACATTTGGCGCCCCCCTATTGGAAGGAATGCCTGTAGGCCAGGTGCTCCCCCCAATAGGGGGCGTCACATATACATTATGGACACCATTATGTACACCATAATGTACATGTAGCATAACTCATATACTAATTACCATTTTAATAATTTATTTGTGACTTATTTTGCACTTTTTTTAAAAATTTGGGATTGTGGTTGCAATTATTTTTTTCTTCTTCTTTTATTTTATTTAAAGAGATATGTATATTTGTCATTTCATAATTTTTGATTGAGAAAATATGTAAAAATGACATTTTGCATAATAAAATGTGAAAAATAGGATGAAATACCAAAAAAATGAAATGTATGAACGTTTTCCACAATAACAATGAAAGGCGGGAATGTTATGTGCTAAATTACCCTTATTATTATTATTATTATTATTATTATTATTATTATATGTGCATTTGTAATAAATTTTAATGGTGTAATCATAATAATTAAGGAATGAATTAAAATAAAAGTACTCAAAAGAGTTTTAAAATGTAACAATTTTCTTATTTGTGGCATTTCTATTAATTGTACTACAATTTTTAAATTTATTAATGAATTCAATATATTTTTTAATTTAACGTAATTATTTATTTCGTAAGTTATGCATTTATAAAATAAATAACTAAATAGTTTTTCAAATAAATAAATTGTGAAGAATAAAACAAATTAAAAAAATGATTAAACACTATTCATTTGGTGTAAGTCCTTGTTTGAACCACATTTTTCTATCAAAATGCATTTTTTCTATAGTGATTTGACCCATTTTAACAATACATTTTTCAATAAAATAATGTTACATACAAATCTAGCTTTTCCTTATCTTTTAACCACACATTCTCCATTATAACACTATTGCAAAATGTATTTTTTGACAAAAAAAAATGGGACTCAAACAACCCCAAAGTTTTGGTGTCATGGTTGGAGATAATTTTCAGTTGATACAAAACTTACCTCAAATTTTGGTGAAGGATTGGAGATGGCAGTCCACACTTTGAAAGGAAAAAAAAAAAGAAACTCGCTAGGCCTTGTGAACAAAGGCAATTCTTTTCATGCTTCACAAGGTCCAGTTGACTCTGGTGTTTTTTTACTACAAATGCTAGAGGTCCTTCTGTTGGTCTATTTATGCTTCAATTGATTTTGGGTTGATTGACGAATTCACACAAGTAACTCCTCTTACAAAGAAGAATGCCTGCACGCGGTACCTATGGAATCAATTGTATACGTTTGGGTGAAAGTTCGTAGTTTTGGTATAATGAAAGAGAAAAATAGCTTCAATTTTTAAACAAGGCATGCATACCTAGGAAGTTGAGATTGCAATCACATTGATCCAGCCTGTGTAACAACTCGAACATAAAAAGACCTTTAGAATCAAAATATCAACAAAGGATCATCAACATCAGGAATCAATTATTTTGGGTTCAAAATAACATTGTACCCTTATATACAAAACGGAAAATCCACATAACCCTGACCCTAATATGGAACAAACATACGCAACTACTACAATGGACCAAGAACGACCAAACCTCTAATTGAAGAATCACACGGACTCAATACACACAGATTTACCCCCAAAAATCAGAGATATTAGGGTTGCACAAAGTAAATGAAAGAGGAATGAGAAGAGACACAGAGAGAGAGAACCCAGAAGCTTCTCGTAGAAATCAGATGAAAAAGTCCAATTAGGGTAACCATTCAAGCAACTTAAAAACACGCCTTCATCATCGTGGATAATCTGTTGGTGATCAGCGGTCCAAAGTAGCACACGTGTCCTTATTTGGGCTCAGATTTGGGCCTATTTCAATTTGTGTTATCGGGCAATTGCAAATACTGGCAAGTTCGCTTAACCCAATTTCATCATAGCCCATGTATTGAACCATTTAAATGGCATCACAACCCAATACAGCGGAACCAACAGCTAGGCCATGGACAGTAAAAGATCATTTTCCATAGTCGAAGTCCAGAATTTTTAAGGTAAATTCCTCGTTTTTCGCTCCCCTATAAGTGTTCAACCCATAGAGGATAGAGATTCACATTTGGAGAAGAAACTCTCTAGAGAATAGCTCGGATACGGGAATGGAGGAAAATGTAAACCTGACGGAAAGAGCTCAAGTGACACCCTAGGGATCGAATAATTCGATGACGGGCCTTCCATTTTCATTTTCCTTTTCGGTAAGACCCACTCCTCAAAGTCCGTCCACAAGGCTGAGCTTGATAGCTCGGAAGGAACCGAAAGAGAGAGTGTTTGCCCTCCCTCCATACACAAAACAAAACAAGGATGAAGATAATACCTACCTAAGCATGAAAACACATAAAAATAAATATCAATTCGCTAAATCTAAATTAAAGGATAAAAGCAAATCTATTTTCACGTACGAGCTCAATTTGAACCTTACATGCTCCATCAAGAAAATAAGTCATTATCAAGAGACAAAAATTCATTAAGAATCTTCGAAAATCTGTAAGATTTGCTCTATACTAATGGTTAATTCTCCTCTTTATGGTGTTCGATCGGAGTCACTTTGTCACTTTCACTTAAATATTGTTGTTAGCAAGTTCACCAACGGTTTTAATTCGACAAGTTAAAGAAGCGGACAAACATCAAATGTTTTTTAACGTTTGCCAAAATAAACTTCGGTCGGTGATATATCACGACAATGACGGTAGATTTTCTAGTAAATTACAAATTTAAAGTGAAATATTGCAGGATTTAAAAATTATTATCAATTGAATATTACAAATCTATACGAGTCCTTTTTTGTGTGGGCATAAAAAATGTTGGAAAATATGTAAGAAAATATGGAAAAACTAATGAACTCCAAGGCACGAAAATCGTTATCTTTTAAGAGATGTTTCTCCCCTATCCAACA